TGCTGAGCCAGTGGCTTCCGTCTTGAGGGATCACTAACAGTCTTCCGCCTTCTCCGAAGGAGACGGTTGCCAGTACGAAGAGGAAACAGGCGGCACAAGCACTGAGGCGAGGAAAGGAAGAAGCCATCTCTAAGGACGCTACACATAAGCACGGAGCTTCTTTTAAGAACCTGAGTGGAAAGCACGCACTTCTTGTCCCTCTGCCTCCCAGCCCTTTCCTTTGTTAATGATTAATATTAAGCTTCTTGTTGGTTAAGGGTCCCTCTGCCTCCCGGCCCTTTCCTTTGTTAATGATTAATATTAAACATGAGGTTGCTAATTAAGCAACTTTGACCTAGAAATGTCTGTGTGTGTCCCCCCTTCCCCCCGCTGGTGAAATGGGATATTTGAGTGGAAGGTAAAACTTGTGTGCCTTAAATCACTGACAGATTCTTCACCGGGCATGGGTGCCCAGGGCCATAATACAACCATGTGCAATGCACTTGGGGCATCTTGGGTCCGGTCCAACCAAGAAGTCAAAGGTCTCTTCCTTTTTTTAGTTGCAAAAGAGCAAAACCGCAGATTCCAAAAGGTCAACTGATCCCTCCTGCTGCAATGCAGGGGCTCATTTCCAACTCTTGGGTGAAAAGTGCCATCGAGTAAGTAGCCGCTGACTTACGGCAACCCAGCAGGGTTCTCAAGGCCAGAGAAGAACAGAGGTGGTTTGCCATGACCTGCAACCGCAGAGCAACCCTGGACTTCCTTGGTGGTCTCTCATCCAAGTACTAACCAGGGATGACCCTGATCAGCTTCTGAGAGCTGATGAGGCTAGGCTGGGCTGGGCTGGGCCACCCAGATCGGGGCGTTCAGATTTTACCAGCAGCCCCCCACAGTCCAAAGGGCCTCTGAAAGACCTAAGAGCTGGCCACAAATCACACTTTGGAAATGTGCCCCCAAAGTCTAAAACTGTCACAGATGACTTCAAAAGAAAGGCAATTTGCAAAAAGGAGAGTACTACCCCGAAGGGAGTTAAAAGGAAGAACTGAGAGGGTACAATCTCTCCAGGGTTTTTAGAAACTATTACAAGCCACACTAATGAGGTGCACAGGAAGAAGCACAGATTGGGCAGAACAAATGTGTAAAAGGTAAAGGTAAAGGTTCCCTTGCTCGAAAGCCAGTCGAGTCCGACTCTAGGGTTGCGGTGCTCATCTCCGCTTCAAAGCCAAAGAGCCAGCGCTGTCCGAAGACGTTTCCGTGGTCATGTGGCCGGCATGACTAAACACCAAGGCGCACGGGACGCTGTTCCCTTCCCACCGAAGTGGTACCTATTTATCTACTTGCAATTTCTTGCTTTCGAACTGCTAGGTTGGCCGGAGCTGGAACTAGAGACGGGAGCTCACTCCGTCATGCGGCACACTCGGGTCTCAAACTGCTGAACTACCGACCTTCCACAGCCTGCAGTTCAGCGTCTTAACCACTTGAGCCACCGCAGCTCCTAGAACAAATGTGAGGCGCCCACAAAAAAATAATTTGATGAGTGGACTTCTAAAAACATCTAGACCAACAATAGGCATTTCTGCAAATATATTAGGGAGGTGGTTGGGCCATCAGATGACAAAGAGGAATTAAAGGACGGGTTAAAGGAGGGGCACAGGACCCCATGCCCCAATCAGGGGACTGGTAGCTCGAGTGCAGGCATGTCTCCCACCACCACCACTCACCCAACCTGAAATGGCCTCGAGAAGAAGAGGAGATTGGATTTATACCCCAACCCTTCTCTACCCGAAGGAGTCTCAAAGCAGCTTACAATCCCTTTCCTTTCCTCTCCCCACAACAGACACCCTGTGAGGTAGGTGGGGCTGAGAGAGCTCTCTTGAGAACTGCCCTTGAGTGAACAGCTCTGAAAGAACTTATGACTGACCCAAGGTCACACCAGCAGCTGCATGAGAAGGAGTGGGGAATCAAACCCGATTTTTCCAGACTAGAGCCTGCACTCCGAACCACTAAACCAAACTGGCTGTTATTTGTCCCTTGAGGGCACTAGCATGTACTGACGGCTGCCCATAAGTTTTCTCAGTGAAGCAGACAGCAACTCCTGGAGCCCTCACATGCCTGGGAATTTAGTTCCCAGCACAGAACTCCAGGCCCACATCTGATCCAAATTTCTTGTGGTGGCCACATGTCTATGATTGGGACTTTGTAATGTGTGAACTGGCTACAGTGAGAGATGGGTGTGCAAAGAGATCTCTGGGGAGAAGAAAATGTACGAAGGCAGTAGCTTAGTGGTGAGGGACACAGACTTGTGATGATGCAGAGGAAGACTGAGAGTGAAGTGAATGGCCAAGCTCCTTGGAGGAAGGCTAGGGTTAAAATAAAAATCACTAGATAGGTAAACAGATAAATAGATATGGGTTGGCTCCAGTTCTTGGAGCTTCCTGGGGGGGGGGGAAGG